ATTTTAACATGGGTATGCTGTGCCGTTAGACTCTTCAGACAATTTGGTGTTTTGTGTCCGAGCAGGCATGATGAAAGCAACTCTGAACTAGTCCCTTTAAGGGTCTTTAAATCTACAGTTAAATGGTGTATGTCTTGCCTTTTAACTATATAGGCCTTCATCTCAGGATTTGAGTTCAAAACTGGAGACGGTTTCATTCTTTCTCTGTGACACTCACTGCAGTTCCCCCTCTGCCCGCCCTGCCTCATATTTAATTTTATAGTTCTTTCAGACATAAACATGAAAAAAAAGCAATTTTGACTTAGTTTCTGAGTGTTGCTGCAAAGAAAAGTAACAAACATCTGTTTTTACCTTAACTGCATCCATATGTTCAACCTCCCCATCACCCTCCTTCCCAAAAAATTTACAGCCGTAGTTGGTGGGTACTGCATACTGTTGAATTAACTTTCTTCACAGTTAGATTAGAGGGTAAGTTCAGAGACTGAAAATGTCTGTACTAAGCAGTGGCCAAAAGCTACATTGTAGCTAAGCCAAGTTTAGTTTTTCACTCTTCCTCTTTTAATTTACTTCCCTATTCCCCTTCTCCCCATCCCACCCCCCCAAGAAGAGAGATGATCCAGGAGACTTCTTTAGGAACAGGTTCTTGTGGTAATCAGGTAAATGTTAACTTGTGAAATTTGCTTATGGCTTTCATACTTGTAAATTAATTAACATTCGAAATACCATGTTTATCATTTAAGTATGTGGTTTGAGATGCATACTGTATGGATTATTGTAAAGGGTTAGTTACCTTGTTTCATTTTATTACTTCTTGTTGTAGCATCTGGAACAATTCTGGCCCTACCAAAGTTTTGTTTTTGTAGAGGATTAAGAGGAAGAAGGCTATTTACTGAGATATTTGAGAAGCAGTGAAACAAAATGTTGAATGATACTATCTTACTTTGTGGTGTGCAGCATGCTTTCAGAGATAAGAGTTTGTGGAACTAAAGATATCTTTCAAAGAAAGGTTATTCCTTTCAAGTTATATAGTGCCTTTAATAGGTGTGAAACTAGTTGTGCAAATTTCCCAAATGCTTCTACCTACAATAATGTAAATGGTTGTATGCTCCAGAGGGATTCAGCAAAGTGAGAACACGTGCCCTTCCTCTGCCACTAGAAGAAGCTGGCCGTCTCTTAGTAATGTCGACTAATGCTCGTAATACATTTTTCAAGAAAATTAAGTTAGAAGCTGGGCTATAATTTGTTAGAAAGTGAGTTGATGACTTTTTGACTGATGGTCATTTTACTGTATATTCTCAGGTAAATGGTAGGTTGTTTTCTTCAAAGGAGATATTAATTACCTCTCTGAGGAAAAGATTCCCTGCTCCTAGCTGATTTTCTTTGACAGCTTGAACAAAAGTCTGAGTGACACCTGGTGGCTAAAATGCCCTGTATTTCTCTTTCTATTGTTACGTAAATAGAGAGAATGGGGATTGATTCTAGCTCCACCATCACATGTTTCCGCTGACAGAGGGAGGTCATCTTGCATCCTTCTATATGTGATCGTTCTGGCCGAGACATCATCAGAACATGGAGTTGACATCTGGATTGACTTTGAATACAATCTGGGAAAAGGAAGGAATGATTTGGGGTTGCTAGCACACTCTCTTGGTCATAATTAAGAAATGTGGAAGCTAAATAAAGAAATATTCACTTTTTTTCTTGGTAAATAAAAGGAATGCAAAAGGTTTTTATGCTGAAGTCTAGCCACTATGTCTAGACATAATTGTCCAAGTGTTGTTGCCTTTACTGCACAGTTTTTCAAATTTCTTTTGGATCTCTGAAGATGTCGGTAAAGAGGACATAAAGATACAAATATCTGTGCCTTTATGTGCAGTTTTGATGTTTTATGAAACCTTGTTACCTGTGGTAGGACACAATCTGAATGTAGATTTTTCCTGGTTCTTTTGGCTAAAAGGGAAGGATGGTGTCAGGGCGCTATTGTAATCCTAGAAATGTAGGCTCTCATATGTTTTGGAAGGACAAGATGGAACCTAAGGAGTCTAAAAGACTTGTTTGTGCCGGAACTGTAAATCCCAAACTCAAGCTAGATCATAAACATGGATGTAGAAACTGTCTGTTAAAGACTGCAAGTGGAGAATTTGTGGTCCTCTAAGGCAGGCTTTTGCAAAAGCATTGTCCCATTGGTCAGCAGTTTCACCAGTTCTGACAGAACACTATGTGAAAACAGGCAGTGACTATCTACTTGCGGGCTGAGTAGAATATTTTATACTTGTTTTTAATATCTCAGAGGGATTCTCTTCTACACTGAGGGTGGGTGGGAGACAAATAGCTGTTCTTCTGCTGCCGTTGTGTGGTCTAAGGAGTGTGATTGTGATGAGCATCATATATGTGTGTAAGCAGTGGAAGCGTATTGTGCGTCTTCCAGTTTTTATGTTGCTGGGAGGTGGTGAGTTCCCCTGAGATCTGGACTGTGGAAAATAGCATTCTGACTGCTGATCTTTCATTGATTAAAGCAGTTATAACATCTGATTTTTGTTCTACATCAGTTTGGGCTCTTGTTAAGATGAATGTATTTGAAGTTTTTGAAACACTCTGCAGCAATATGTGGTATCTTGTGTTACATTTTCCCTTTCTTAGTACTGGCACTATGTAAGAGAGTATAGTTTGTAGAAGTAGCATTGGGAATTAAAGGACATACCAGACTTCATGTGTAAGACAAAATTCTGACTCCCTTTAAATGCTGAACATGGACTATTTGGGAATGGAAGTTTCTGTATTGATCGTAAGTCAATATACAAGGAAGTTAACAAATCTGAAGCTTATTATTTCCTCATTTTATCTATTCTGTTTTCACCTGTAAAAGAAATGCATGGGAGTTGTGCTTCAAGAATATTTTATTCATTTTGAATAGTACATTGAAAATGTATCGTATAGGAAATAAATAGTGGATCCTATAGACCGTAGATTTTCCATAAAGATTTTAACAGGCACTGAATAACTGACATCCAGGACTGTCTGCATTCTGCTCCTCCTGTGTTCTTCTGGTTCTACCCTCAATGCAACACATTTGGTAGTAAAAATACCCACTCAATCTGCAAGTAGATGTAGGCAAATCTTTTCAATCTGGATGATTTTGAAACTAACAGCTTTTTGTGGAAAGGGTAGAGCTGCTGACGAGTATGCTGTTGCTTTGTTAATGCCTCATGTCTTAAGGGACTTTAGATTCCCTTGATATTTTGCGTCACAAAAACCCAGTTTTGAATTTTAATGTAGCATGTCTCATTGCTAGGAAGGGGACTCTGATGGTCTTACTGAGCTTTAGTGTTTCACGAATCTGATATTGCTGTTCCTCAAAGAGCACTCATTGAATCACAGTGTTTGTGTGTCAGATTTCAGCCAGCTTTTTGATAAACTTGTTATTCACTAGTTCTTTAAAGATTAAGGTGCTTCCCAGAGTGGGCAAGAGTGTTAGAATCTGTCCATAAAGTAACTGCAACTCCTGTTCTGGTGAGTTCAGATATTTCAAATGCTGTGCCAAATGTAATAAGGTCAAGTGTTTTGGATGGCATGTTTCCTATCAGAGGATGATTATTTTTGATGATCTTAAGGCCTCAGGTGCATTCTACTTTTGGTTTTGTTATTTCTGTAACAGAAGAACATTGTGTGTCCTAGTAATAGTCTTTGTTATTATTATCATCTAAAAATAGTTGTTTGTAAGAATAAGATCAGCATAAGTGTTACTCCATTGTCTCAAAAATTTTAACGGGTGGCTAAAATAGAACAGGAAATATAAGTGTAGGGAGCCTCAGGGTATGTTGAAAAATAAGAATCTCTGAGAGAAAAACTTGGTGTTCTAATAGCTAAAAAGTGGCTACTGGTTTTGTGTTTTAGCATTGAAGCATTTCATTTAAAACACTTTCTTGAAGGGCCTGGTTTTCAGGACTTCTTTTGAAAGTACGACTTGCTAATGCCTCATCTAGGTACTCAGCATCACTAGACACTTTGGAGAATGTAGGGCTCAATGCACCATGCAACAGAGAAACTGAAGTATCGGCCCATATGCAGTCTGTTAGCCCACAACAAATGCAAGGTAATTTTACTTAGTTTAGCTCACAATGAAAGAGTTTTGATCTAAGCTGAATGGTTTAAGATTTTCTGTAGTATTAGCCCGTTTCTGTGCATAGTGCAGGGGCCTGAAGAAATAACTTGTTGAATTTTGGCTGCTTGATTTTATCTTTAAGCCAGTGGGCCATTAGGTGGCAACATGGAAAACTAGTTGGACATGCCTAGGGAAGAGGTATAAGTTCACACATTTCAGAATAATTATTTTTAAGAAATAACTAAGCATGAGGTGGTATCTTCATGTGTGCCCTATGAAGAAAGTGATAAAAGATGTTGCTGGAGATACAGAGAAACTTTTAAAAAAACCCTGTTGCATTGTATCTTCACGTTCTCCTTCAGCTGCATTTAATATTAGTCTTGCTGTTGGTACTTTAATTTATCCTAAAGTTGTTTACTCTTTTTGAATAAACATGAAAATAAGAAAAAAGCTCGGTATCGCTTTCGTTGTAGTTATTGCTGTGAAACTAAGCAATGAAGTTTAAATAGAAAATAGAACACTCTTAATACCTATAGAAACTTTTTAAAAATTGACTTTTGTTTCTGACTTATGGTACAAACAGGATAAGCCAGTGTTAGAAAGGAAAAATGGAGCCAATAAAGAGGGTTTCTGATTATAATAGCTTGTTTCTGTTTAATATCATTGAGCAGGATGAGGTTTTGCAGAGTTTCTCATGGAAATAGCATCCACAGTACTAAAATGATTACCTCATTCTCAGTACCAGTGCCAAGCACTTAGCCCCACAGTGAACACACGGGGTTGATTTTCAACATGAAACAAGCCAGAAGTGTGGAATGACATTTTCAGGTGACAGTTATGGTTCTATTGCCTGTAATTAGCACCTCTTAACATGCAAACCTGCCTGTGCCTTTTCCAGGCTGTTGAAGCTCAAATACGAAGTTTTGGACAGACCCCTTCCCAACTGCTCATAGAACCACATCCTCCAAGAAGTTCTGCCATGCAGGTGGTAAGTACCATGTTAACTCTTTGTGACCTGCCATTTTGTTCATTTCCTTTGCTATCTTAAAATTACAAAACCGGCCACTTCGCTTTGCTTTTATGTGGTTGTGGAATTGTGTTATTAAAAACAGCAGATGAATTACGATTTTGTAGGACCGGGAATGTATGCAGTGCTTAACTATTATTTTATTTATTGCTGAAAGGATTGTATTGATTTCTAGTACAGACCTTTTTTGTCAGTGTAATCTAAGAACACTTCATCAGTTGATTTTTTTTAATACCATACCTGTACAGGTGAGAGCCAGTCATCATGGAGACAATTTAGCTAATCTTTGGCAGATTCCCCAGGAAGCATGGATTTAGGAGGTGGAACTTCCTTGTGTTTTCCCCCAGGCATAGGTTTTCCCCTAAAACCAGGATTACTAGGAATTCATGAGCTGAAACTTACATAGCAAAGAATGTGACTAAATGTGTTTTGCAGTAAAGCTAGGGTGATAAAATCCAGGCAGCGAGCATTAACATGCTTTCCCTTTTACCTCTACTTGTGTCTAATATAATTTTATTATACAAACTATTATTTTATTACTGATTACTTTCCATATCATGTTGTGTGCAGTCCTTTGGTCTAAAATATCATTTGTGTTGTCATAGATCCAGAACTAAGTATGTTAAGTGATACTCTGACAAGAGGAGCAAATGGTCTGCTAATTCACAAGTTTTTCAAAAGGTTACATTCCCTTATTGTTAAGATGGACATTTTACAGTGAAATATAAAAAAAGACATTTTCTTCTTCTATGTTCTGTAAGATGTATGTCCTACTCGAGCAGACTAATGTTATTAGATTAAAATCATATCTGAATTGCAAAAGGTTTTAGAAAAATGACACAAAAATCTGAAATGTTTCCAAAGTAGCTTAAAACCTTGTGATGTAGGAGTCTAAGAAATGTAAACTTTCTGGTCAAATTGAGCTTACTAGCCTTTCTCAGATATGTCATGTGTTGTACATGAGACTTGCTCAGCTGACTGTCTCCCCATCCCCATCCCCCTTTCTGCAGCCAGTACATGCTACACACTTTGACAGCTGTGCTGTAGACATGCTCCTGCTCTGGGATCCCATGTACTGGATGGACGGAGCTGATCGTGCTGATTTGTGATCTGCTGGCCCGTTGCACTCCCCACGTAGTGTCCCAGGGCTGCAGACCACTGCAGTGACACGTATGTGCAACCCACGGGGCTCTCTCTTTCAGAAGAGCCCCGTTAACAGGGATGCTGGGGAGCCCAAGTGCCCTCGTCATACGTCCGTCTGTCATGGTGCCATGCACTAGGCACTTGCCCTAATTTAGAGGGATTTGTTTCAGGAAGAGGAGGAACTTGAGAAGTTGATTGTTGACGTATTTGTCAGACCCATTGTTACATAAATAAATTTGATGCCAGGAAGCAGTTTGTGTGGTTTTATCATAATATTTTTCATGACGCTGAATTACTAAAGATTTAGTATGTAGTGGAAGAAGTTAAATTTTATGAAGTTAACTGTTCCTAACTCCTGTGGGGTTTTGGGGCTGAGGTACACACAGAAAAAAACCCCTTAGTTCTCCACTTGCTTTGACCGGTTTTGTGGTTATTAATACATGATTTTATAATAGCACCATATTAAGTGCTTTTAAAAGTAGTATTCCTGGAGGTGAAATACAGTAAGGATGTTTTTCCTGTTACAATTCTGAATTATTTCTAGTTGCATTATTTACTGAGTTTTCTGTTTTCATGTGTGTGTGCATGTATGCATGAATACAGCCGAATTGAGAGCTACCACGTGCTGTGTTAAGTGCACAAGCCATAATATACACCAGGTGTAGTAATTAGCAGTCACACGAAGGCTGCCTATTTGTCTGGTTTTGCTGCTGTTGCTGTATCCCCTTGTGTTTTCAACCATCAGATAGCTGGATTTAATTGAGGCCACATCAGATGAGGCATTACTGACACCTTTAATTGAATGAGCATCCAGGGAGGATTAACTCATAATATTGATTGGCTTTTAGCCACTTGCTCAGAAGGGTGTCTGGGTAGCTTATTAGTTGCTTTTATTTACACCTTTATGCAAAGACTGTAAATAGGAATTCATAGAGCAATATGTTTTTCTAAGTACTCTTAATAACTTTTTAAAAAGGAGTGATAATAAAAATGCAAATGTATTTAATTTTTTTATTAGTTCTGTATAAATATACATTAAATGTATGCACTTACATACACATATATGTAATGAAATATTGCAGGTGGAAAATAGCCAAGAACACTTCACTAGTGTTCTAATTCAGTTATTAGAAAATTACAAATACTAGAGCAATATGGCTACTGGTGAACTAGGATGGTTGTATTTCTACATCTCAATGGAGTTCTCTTTTTTTAGGTACACCACACCATCACAAACCCATTAAGTTTTGCTTTTCCTCCTTATGTTTGATATCCTGATCTAAGGTCTTCAATATTTTGTTTCAACATTTGCAGTATTGTTAGAGAGCTTAGTTAAAAAGTTATTAAACTTTTCAATTTATTAAATTAAAAAATAAAACCTAAAAATATTATGTTGAAAATGAGAGTCTGGATTCATTCCCTCCCTGTGGTATTTCTAGAAACAATGCAGGATAGTGTCTGTAATCACGTCCACTTTATATTCTTTACAACTGCATTTAATTATGTTTGTCCTCTGAAACACATTTGCAGTGAAGCCTTCTACTTTGCATTCATAAATCTTATTTTTGTACACCAGAAATATATACAGAACATATATCTAGTGTATGTGCGTATCTGTTTATTTTAATGTGCTTTCATGTTCTCATCTGGCTTGTAAAGAATTGCAGTCTGCCAATTTAATGCAACTTGAGACAATCTCTGGGAGTGGGAATTTCTTTTGCTCACTTTTTTTTTTTTTTTTTTTTTGTTTGTTTGTTTGGTTTGGTTTGGTTTTGTTCCATCGTAGTTTGACATTGCTTTCCTTGACATAATATCTCTGCAGATACGAAGGAGAATTCTTTTGAGAGAGATAGGCGATTGGAAACTTTTAGTTTAATCTGCTGTGATCTGTAGCACAGTTTGTATATAGACACCCTGATTTCAACAAGGCCCTCAAATTAATAGTGTACATGAAGGTTTTTCTACCGAAAATGGTTGTTTCCACAAGCCTGTCCACTATTACTGCATTTGCTTTTCACTGCAGCTGCTATTGGATCTTGTGTGTTTTAATCCAATCTTCCTTCTCTTGTCCTGTCTTCTTTCCTCCTCCCCATGTTTCCTTTTCCCGTGTATTTGGGTTCTTGTTGTGTGCACTCAACAGTATCTCCTCCTGCAGAGTCCGTTGATGTTCACAGACCAAGCTCAACAGGACGTTATCATGGTTCTAAAGTTCCCATCTAACTCCCCTGTCACTCATGTAGCAGCCAACACCCAGCCTGGTCTGGCCACTCCTGCTGTGATCACAGTTACTGCAAATAGGCTATTTGCTGTAAACAAGTGGCACAATCTTCCTGGTAAGTGAATTAAAGTACGTAGCCTAAGAAATCACTGCCATCAAGCAGTACTTCTGTTGTCTGTTTCAAAATTTGCTGCAGAACTGTTTTAAAGTGTGAAGAGCAAGTCCACTTGATTGACACAGCATGCTCTTCACATGTGGACTTAGTTTCTCCTTAAAAAAGTAATATGAACTATTGTGTAGTAAGGTGTGTAGCACCCAAAAGGTTTGTAACAACAATAGGTTGCTTTCCAGGCCATCGGGCACTATACAAGAAGACAAAACCAGTACATCATCACTACTTGATTGTGGTAAAGTCACGCCCTTTTCTCTTGAATTTGTTTTTCAGTGAGATGGAAGCCTGAACCACATCATGTCAAAGAAAAGTTTTAAAGCATGTAGAACTTGCTTGAAATCTTTTCTGCTATCTTCTTCTAGTTGTTTATAACCACCATATTCTGATGTTAAAGCCACTCAATGAGAATTAGAAGATAAAATAATATGGGAAATCTGTATCTTCTCTAACTTAAACATCCCAGAATTATTAGGTGCTTATGTATTTGTCAATATGAAAGGAAAACAACATATCCATTTGCATAGCAACCAATCAAATTAATTTTCCTTTAAAAATGTGTTGGACTTGAGAATATAGTCATGCTGTTTTCAATTCTAAGGTTCTCTAATCTTAAAGGCACTCATGGTCCTTTCCCTGACTATGACAGTTTCAGGCCCAAGCCATGAAAGGAGTTTATTTCAGTGCTATGCAGTAAATCTGGTCAAAGGCTTTTCAAGAAAGGGAAGAAAGAGTTTCTACTCAAATAACTTGAATAGAGGATATTTGCACCAGGGTAATATTCACATCACTGAAATTCCTACTAAGAAATCTGGACCCATGGTCCTTGATTACATTTTGAAAAAAGCCAGATGACTCCCACACTTTTTCCTAATTCTTACAAATTACCTCTCAACATTGTACAAATAGAAACATCTATGTATTATTTCACCCACCCAAGAAATGCTTAAAAAGAAAGGTGGGAAGGAAGGGAGGGAAAGGAGGCTTGTCTAGATAACAACTTGTGAGCAAGAACTATTTACAGGGCTCTTGACATTTGTTTGAAAGGAGGATGGCAATATCCTCTCATACCTTGGATGTGTGACCATGGTCATATAATATTCAAGGCTTTTAAAAAATAGCCTTTGTGGACATACAACAGTCATGGGAAAAGAAGAGGTCCTAGAGTGGTAGGAGTTGATTTTGATTTCCTTGTAAATCTGCTGGTTGATAATCTGTGGGCAAGCAAACCAATCGTTGAGCGTAGTAATCAACTGTTTTGAGTTGAACAAAACCTTCAGATTTTGGTTTTTCCCTCACCTCTGAAAGGGAGACCAGTAAGCTGTGCCTCTGAGTCACTATTTTTTCATTTAGAAGCATTTTACACTTGTCTTGCCTTTACAAAGAGCTCAAGAAAACCTACAGTTCAAGGCAAACAAAAGCCAACCAAACAAAACCAAAACCTTCCTCACCCCACCTCTTTGAGAGCAGACTGGTCAGCTGCAGACTGTCAATGGAGTGCTACGCTCAAGATATCTGGGTATGGACTCCTGAGACTAGCCTTCACTATTGTTGCCTTCAAATTTTATACCAAAATGGGATCTGCTAGGATTAGAGGGCAGGTATCATTGCTACTCCGTTTCTCCTGCTGTGGGCTCAGCATTGTCTTTACTAATGAGGCATCATGATAAAAAAGTTAAGTTGCCAAGTGACCAGTTGTCAGTGATGTGTAATTAAAAATCTCATTCCTGCTTTTGTATATGAGTTTGGTGGCTTTGCTGACATCTAATGGCACTGGTACCCAAGAGGGTGCCTCCATTTTGTCACGTGGATTTCATGTTTTGTTCTGTGTTAGTGTTTCATTGCAGCAGAACTATGACTTCCCAGTTACTCATGAAACCCTGCTATTGATACTAATTTTTATATTAAGCTATAGATGGTAGATAGAAAAATCATAGGTGTAAGTATTCAGCCATTATTTTTTGTTCTGCTTCCAAGAATGTCTTGTAGGCTGGGGGTGGGGGAGTTTGCTTGCTTGCTTGTTTGTTTTTAGTGAGGCTGTGGAAAAAAAGGCTTTTTTTTTTTTTTTTTTTTTCTTTTTTAACACTGAAGGAAAATTCAGGAGGTAAACATTTCACTGGTATGCCAGGTGCCCAGATGAAATGTAGGTCGGCAGAATTATATATTAACTTCTGTGCAAACTTGCAAATAAATGGGTTTTGGTGATGGATGAATCCTTAAATACTAGATGACTATGAGATTTCCCTGTCTGCATCATAAAGTGACTTTTAAAAAAAAATGTCCTTTGTGCTTCACTCGTTCAAAGCAGTGCTTTAAAAAGTAAAGAGGAAAATAGTATTTGCTACAGTCAGCAGATGGTTGTCACATTTTGTTTTCAGTGCTCTTTACCACTTAATTTTGTTTTGTTGCGACAGGAGAGGTTGCCAGTAAAGCATCTGCTAGAGCTTATGGCTCAGGACCGGAGCTGCTGCTGATGGCATACATTCAGAATAGCACTAATCTAAAATAAATGTTTAATAAGCAGCCTGTGAAAGCACCTGGAATTTTTTTTTTAAATTCAACTGATGCAGAAGAATCTTGAATAGTTAAAAAAAAAGGACGTAGCTTTGATTTGTAAAACGTATGTGTTTTCATGTATTAAAAAAATGCAGAGTTTTAAAATCTTCTTTCCTGAATTCCAGCTCATCAAGGTGCTGTACAAGACCAGCCTTACCAGCTGCCAGTGGAAATCGATCCTCTCATAGGTCTGTCACTTCCTTCTCTCTTTGCGATTCATTAAGCTCTGTATGGTGGCCCTGAAGTGTAGATTACGGTTGTTTTTCACTTGCTGGTTGCTGGGAATGGAATTTTCCTGATAAACCATTTGCATGCAAATTGGAATGCAATGAGCTGTGGCTATGCTGGTATTTCATCAACTCCCCCTCGTTGGTTTGCCTAATTTGAACAGGCCTAGGACGCGTGTCAGTGAAAATTAATATGGATGCTGTAATAATGTGTGATTGAGAATGTGCATGAAGTACTGTCAGGATAATATTGGATCTTTTCATCACTCAGACTTGTTGATGAGCAGGAGCGAGGCACGTTATGATGAATTGGTGCACTGGTAATGTGATGGAGCTCCTTTGCTGAAGAAATTTTCATAATAACAGTGGGGTTCTTAACTGCACCGTGTTGTGAAAAATAAAACCATGGTGCCAGGGTTTCATCATTAAAGGAGATCAATCCTTTCTTCATAGACCTGCTGTTCAGGCTGAGGGGATTAATGTGTAATTGCAAAGTGGTTTCAAAGTTGAAATATATTGCCCACTCCGTTTTACTATTGAGATATTAGTATTCATTTTTCAAGGGTATTGGATCTTTTGATCAGCATCACTAGTTAAATTTGTGTATGATTTTCTTTTATTAAAAAGGAGTGGAGGAATGTCTTTCTCTTATTTAATGACTCAGTGTAATAGATTCAATTCATGACTTTTTATTATAGAGGTTTATTAGTTTATATAGAGCTGATTTTTCTATTAGCATGGTTAGAGTTTGGTCAGTTCTTTCATTACAGACCCAACTTTGGGGAGTGCATACTTGGACTGTAATTCAGGAGCCTGTAGCATGGCAAATGGAACCTTAAACATGATCAAAAACTCAAACAACCTAACCCCAAAATACAAACTAGTTGTAGGACAGTTCGCAGGAGCAAAGAAGACACGATTCCGCTCCCTGCCCCCAATTCTATTAGACTTCTAACTTAGCTGGTTTTTAAACTGTCCATTTCAGGATGGTAGTTTAAATGAAAAAGAAGTGAAGTGGCCAATTATAGAAGCATGGAAAAATCAGAGCAAAAATGAACTTGCCTGGATAGGTTAGAATGACAGGTCTGTCAGCCAGTGAGAATTAATTTCAAAACTAATATGCATATCACAGTAGGAACTGCATTGTATTGGTCTGTAGATAGAGACTGTTGCTTTGTAGCCATTTTGCTGGGTAAGCTCTATGATAATTAAATCAGGAACAGTGTGGGCATACCAAACCATTTTATAGAGCTGAAAAAATGTTTTTCCAAAGTTTTTAAAATCGATTCCCATCTGAATAATGCAATACTTATAAATTATAATAAGGAGGACATGTGCTGTAACTCTCCTTTCCTTCCTGAAATAGATTTTATCCAAAAAATGTTTGGAGCAGGAAGTGTATATTCTGCTTTAAAATCTGCTGTCAAGTAGATCTTAAAAATATAAAAAAACCACCACAGCAAAAAACCCAAAATCACATTGGGCCTGTCCGATAATTTTTCTACATATTGTGAAGAACATTATGAAGGAAATAAAATTTTAATTTTCATTTGCATTTTTCATAATTTTAAAATTATAATTCCATTTTCAGGCTTGCCTTTAATTTACAAAATACTTTGACTTTTGTTTGGTATAAACACCTTTAAAATTAATGTTTACGGTTCTGAGAAATGGTTTAATATTCTCTTCATACAATAGATCTCAGATCAGCCTTGTGATTATATTGAACATAGTTTAAAAGGCTTAAGGCTTTCTTTGTCACTGTTAAGTAGCATCATTGGGTACAAGCAAGTAATTATGTAGATAATATTAAAGGTTTTTAATTGTGGCTAGACACGTTTACCTAGAAATGGCACCTAAGAGGATCACAAAATTACACTTTCATGGTTATAGCAGGAATCTTGTTGCTGCCTTAGTCATAAGGAGGGATTCCTGCTGTCCTCATTTTCCAGTTGCCCAGGAAGATGTAAACCAGCAATGTCCGATATGATTTAGATCCCAGACCTCTTTCTGAGGTGAATTTTTTCGAAGGTCTTACCCACACTGAATGTGTTGATCTGCATGTTTTTTGAGGGGTGTATTTGCCATTATTTTATCATACAGAACGCTTCACTGTGCATTTATAATGCGTTGTTGTTACTCTTTAAGGGGTCCCAACAGCAGTCAAGGCCCTGTTATGTGTTATCTGCGGAGCAAGTGGCAATACCTTGCTAAATTATTTGCTACCCATATGGACAAGACAGTATCAACATTTTAAACATAGCAAAAGCATAAATAAATTAAGGATTTGATATGGAGTAAATGGAATAAGCCCAAGGGTAAGGGGATAGCTAGACTGTGAGAATGGAAGGAAGTTAAGAGTAAAGAAGAGCACAAGACCAGGACAGAGACAGGGCTGGGGGACCACCTGGAATGGAAGTAATGATGCTCCGAGCAGTCTGCAGACAAACCCAGGTCCAGGAGAACTTACTTGCCTGGGATGGGAGTCAGGTTCCCTCGGGAGCAAAGCACATTAGAAATTCTTCCTACAGTGTAGGATTTTCATTATATATATCTATAGGGACCCATATGTGTGTGTGTATATATATATATGCACACACATCAATTAATAAGGGCAAAATATAATATGAAAAATGTGTTCATTAATTGATTCCTGTCCATTCTGTGGGTTCACAATGCAGGATTATCTGGGGAAATAAAACAGCAGGTGATCAAAGTAGGGTTAATTATTTTCTCTCAATCCTAAAGGAGATTGTGGAGATAAGCTGGTTAATTCTTGTGCAATGCTCAAAAAACTGTGAAATGATAGTGACGTTTACTGCAGTTAGCCTTTTTTTAAATTACAATGCTTGCAATGCAGTACAACTTTTGTATGATTTTGAAATCATAATTCCATTGTCTGCTGCAGTTGAGCCACTATATAGCATATATGTATATGTACTGTCTTACAATTACATTCCCTTCATCTGTTTCCTAATTTTTAATTTCCTATACTAGAAGAAGCAGGGAAGGAAGCTTATTACATTTTTATGTATCATTCCTTTTGCAATCTTTCATTTATATTTGTCAGCTGCATTTGACTTAAAGAAGGGCTTTCTTCGATTTTAGAATATATACTACAAGGAATTAGCATTGTTCCCAGAAGCGTAATGAGTATTTTATAGTAAAAGTAGACAGAAAATATCCCTGCCACAAAGAACAAGTAACAGCAGTGAGGAATAGCTTTGGTGTGAACGTAAGTTTCTAAAAATGTGCTTTTGTTCTGTGAATGTGGGTGCTAAAATTTCTTGATTTGTGTGTCTTTCTGTTCAGCCAGCAATACAGGTATGCACAGAAGGCAAATCACTGACCTTTTAGACCAAAGCATTCAGGTACATTCCCAGTGTTTTGTCATCACCTCTGATAATCGTTACATCTTGGTCTGTGGCTTCTGGGACAAGAGTTTCCGAGTTTATTCTACCGACTCAGGTAATGTATTTTTTAAATATGGGAATAGCCTAAAAGATTTCTCTGTTCATCATCAACCTACTGTTTCAAATAAAGAAAGAAGGGGGGCAGGGGAGAAAGTGGAGTATGTATTTATTCTCCTATTAGTAATATTTGTCAAATCTTTTCTTACCTACTGCTACTGTGTGCTGTATGCCATCATTTTTGTGGAATGATGGCAAATATAAGACAAGGAGCTCTTGTTTACCATAGCATCACACTTCAAATCTATATGACAGGCATGCCTGTTCTTACGCTGTAGTTTCCACAAGTAAATGAGTTTTTGTGAAGCTTTGCATTCCAGGAGAATTAATTGTTCTTAGAGTGCTTACTTGAATTTAACTCTGGTTGCTTTTCAGCACCAGAGAATTTTTTTTTTGAGGAAATGCAGGCAAGCACCATAGAATAAGAACAGAAGTGAAGTCTTGAAATCTGGTGCAAGAACATTTATGAAAGCCTTTGAAAGCTATGGTATAATAGAAAAATTGATTTGGAGCCACCAAATTCTTTCATATAACATAAACTGATCGATATAACGGGGAGCAGTTAAATTAGTCTGTCACCTGGCATGTATCCAAACTGTTGAAGTCATGCATGTGTCATGCTAAATAGAAGAGAATCTTTCAATGTAAGAGCTACAGGAATTTAAAAGCCTTGGCACCCCAGAAAAAAATAGGTATGATTTTTTTTCCCTTTCATTATCTTATAATAGGAATAGCGACCTTACTGCAAGGTACTTCTTTGGGATTAATGATCCGGTGTGGTTAATGTGTGTGTGCCATCAAGCTTTCCAGTAGGTTATTAATCCCTAGGGAATATCCTACATGTGTGTCATAATTTCTTAAATATATTAGTTAATAGTGTTTTTCACACTTGGAAAACCAAAATATTTAACAAAACAGGATGGTCTTTAATGAGAATCTGTTAAGACTAGATCTCATGGCATATTTTAGCATATCTGTCACTTTTGCAATTTTAAAGCCTTAATTATAAAGGAGAAGTTCCATTTACTTCGTATTGACTGCCTACAATTCATTATACAGACATCTAGTTAGACCCTTCTTAGTTTAATTTTTTCATTGATGAAAAAAAATTTACATAAAACTGTGAATTTAAAGGAGATCTTCAGAAAAGTTAGCTAGCAGTAATAAATATTCAGTGTATATTCTTGATTTATATGAATAGAGAACTAATACTTTTGTGTTGAAGGATATATTTTACTTTACACCTACGGAAGGAACTTGTATGGTTTTGGTGGCTTTGTCCTGTATCAATCTGAACTACAAATATCTCATTAAGTTACATCCTGTGTAAGTCAGATATACCAGGCACCTCGTTACCATACCTAATTATGGTATAAACCAAAATACAGTTGTCAAAAAAATTGCAGGAGATTTGTGTCTTCTCTGTGTCTCCTGTTTGTCAATATAGCAACTCTAGCTCTAGTTTAAATCAAGTGAATTCAGATGTAGTTTATTTTGCCTCGGATTAAAATGAGAATATAATAGTGAAATACTTATTCTGAAATGGGCAGAACAGCAAGGGAAAAAGATAAAGTGATCAGTAATGCATAATGGCAAGTGATCACAAGTGTTGAATTCAATTCTATTTTAGCACTTACACAAAAAGGGAACCTTTTTCTTATTAGATTTTGGGTTTGTTTGGGCTTTTTTAACAGGAAATAATTTTAACATAAATTATTGGTTCTCAGCACAGCCAGTATAGCAGAAGCACAATAAAACCTTCCTCCAGCAGTGGGAATGATTTCTAGACAGCATTTTAGATTCAGTAGTGCAGAGACTTGAGTCTTATTTTTCTTTTAATTATTCGTAGCACAGCTGTCAAATAAAACATTAACTAGAAAATTTGTTCTGTCAAAAAGGGATATCTGAGCACATACAGTAAAGTTTGATATTACTGTATAGAGAGGACAACTCACATTAAAGGAAACAAAAAAGTTGAGGAACTCTTAGGAGATTAATGTTTTGGTTTTTTTTTTTTTTTACTAATATGAAAGAGCAAAAGCTTATTTCTTGTTTTGATGGAATTGATTGAACCTTAGCTGCACAGTAACAAAGTAAAACTAACAAGGCAGTGCAACTGCATGAACAGCTGTCAAACAAATAGCCTTGAAAAATGTTTGTTTTCTAGAACAGAACCTATAAACATAGAATATAATTGAAAGAGAGATCTCTATAACTCAGCAATGTTTATAGCATAAACTTGCATTCTAAAAGTATAAATCACCTCAGGTAGTTGAATACCTACGGCTATACAGCTGAAAAATATAATACATAATTAAATTATTCTCAAATCTAAACCATGTAATTGACAACTTGAATTTTCAGGGAAAAACATACGCTTGGTAAGATGTTTTTGTATATTGCCAAAATGAGGTTATGTAGTCTGTGAGTGTTTCACTGCTCCTAGCTGTGAAGTTCAGTAACTTTTTCTGACTAAATCTATTGACTGGTCAGCGTCTGAGACAGTTAGGTGACCCTGTGACACAAATTAAAGCCCTGGTGTGCAGAGGTGACCACTATGGAACACTATTGGAGACTCACAGAGATGAGTGAAAGACTCGATCGCTGACTTACTCCCCTTTCTGATACAAGGTAGATCTGCACAGTAAGTGTACCTTCTAGGGTTTTGCCCCTTCCAGTCAGAAAAGGCTCATGTGATAGTACTTCATCTCACAATTTCTCTTGGAGGATTATACTTGCCTAATAAGTTTTGTCAGTGTTCTATGCTAAAGCCGATGTACAGGTTTCCTTTAAATGACATCATGTTATTCTATTTTTTCTTCATGTATTAAAGTAATTCCCCCTTTCTGTAGATATTCGTACCTTTCTCTTTGGTTTTTTTCAGGTTTTCTCCACTTTAATGCAATTACCTTTTTGATCTTCTATTATAAATGAGGCTGTTAAAATTATTTTTTTCTTTTCTCAGAACCACTCCCTTAAGTCTTTTGTTACAGTTAATGTTATTTAGTGGCTTGATATGAATACAGTGCCTTTGTATTGCGCAGAAAGAGGGCTATGAAATGTGTCCTACTAGCCATATTATATGATCGACTAATTGTTTTTAATAAATGCACCAAAATATTTCGTTAAGATGTGCTTAATTTGAGTCCCAATACCGATTTGTGTTACTACTTGTCATGTTACTAGTTATTATTTTTAAACACTTTTCAGGACATTTTCTTTCCCGTACAGTAGTTTGCATTTCCTATTTCTTTTTTGGCTTGTGTTGTTAATCCTTCCAAAGTCATCACTCTTTTCCCCTCTGTTCTTCCTCATTCTTTATTCAGCCCAAAGCACAAATGGATGCATGGGCATTTGGGCTGAGGAATCTGAGGTCACACGTGAATGGCATCACACCTCACACTTCCTTGTGTCACTGGATGCAGAATTTGGCCTGGCCCATGTTACCTGAATGGGCCAAGTAGGCGCATTAAGAAATTGTGTGTGTGTATCTTGTCCCGTCCGTACAAGATCTGCAGTTGCTAGGCTCCAGCAAATGGAGTGAGATGGATTTGAGTGCTTACATTCTCATTTTATAGGATCACGTATGCTGCTGGCAGATCCAGAAACCGGCAGGACACTTGACATGTTTGCTGTGTAGGAGCCAGCCTCTGGCAGGGTGGTCTGGCAGAGATCTGCTGTGGGTGACCTTACATGTGTTTCCTTTCCCACGTGCAAATCCACTATGCATGAGCATCCACATTCACATTTTTTCTGAAAATATTGTCCTGTTTAGTTAAGGTTAAAAGGTAATAGTCATATTCGTGTTTATACAGACTCTTGAATGGCACGTTTTTAACTGCCTGGACTTTCCTTTCTTTTTAACATTATGTCTCTTATCAGCAGTACAAGTATTTGTCCTATATCAATGAGAGAGTTTTTTCCAGGTCTGTCTTCTGAGGTTTCTTGAATATTACAGAAATTCTTAAAAGGGAAGGATGCTGGTTGAAATAATTGGCAAATGTTTAAATGGTGATGCAAAAACCTGGGTACAAGAGGAATTTTTTGTCTAAATCTCCTTTTCTCTGTTTAAGGAGATGCTCAAAAGCTGCATATCCTATATACACGTATGTGCTCTCACACTACCAATTTCTTCTGGGTCCTAAATGTTCTGTAGCTTCTTCTGATTCCATTGCCCACATCATCATCAGCTTTGCATTGTTACTGTTACTTTTGTCAGTGAACTTACCTTAAACTTGTCTTAAAAGAGAATCCCATCATGTTTCCTGTCTGTAAAGTGAATGTAAACATATAGAATTAAAAAAATCCTTCTGGCATGATTGGCCTTTGAATAAAGTATGCTATTTATGGACTGTAATTTTTTTTTTTTAGGGACTACTGCATTTTTAAATAAGTTTCCACCAAACCAAGAAAAAAAAAAAGTACTCTCCACTATAGTCTTTTTGGAACCTTTTTTTAATAAAGAAAATATTTCTAAAATACTTTATAATGTATTTAATTTGCCTTAGAAAGAATAAAAGCGTCATTTTAAAACAATCATTTTTATGTGTTTTAGGTAAACTGATACAAGTAATATTTGGACACTGGGATGTAGTAACCTGCCTTGCTCGTTCTGAGTCCTATATTGGAGGAAATTGTTACATTCTCTCAGGATCGCGTGATGCAACATTGCTGCTCTGGTACTGGAATGGCAAAACCAATATCATTGGTGATAACCCAAGAGGTAAGCAAAACCAGAAAAACCTGTTTTATAAGGACATTTTCTAAAAATGGCTTGAGTGAACACTTTGCATGATAAAGTTTTCAGTAACGTTAATGTCAAAGTACGGTGGGGTTTTTTTTGTAGTTGTGATTAGATCTAGTTTAAAGAATTGAGGGTAAACAGTGCTTGCTTTTCAGCACAAGTAGAACTAATTTTTAGAGTTATAGGATACTGAACATTACAAATACTTTTTTTTTTTCTTGTCTCTCATTCAATTGGGAAAGGGTGGCTCCAGGACTGAGAGAAGGGAACTCTGTTTTTATATTTCCTGTTCAATCTGAGTAAATCTTTTCCTCTCAACATGACCGTTTCATTAAATACCTGTATTTGAGTTGTTTAAAAGAAAAAAGACTGTACACTGCTCCAGTGCAGACTGTATTCTATTCAGCTGTAATCTTACGCATGTAGGTTCTCACAGCAGTACCTTAGCTATCAATAGAGTTATACAGACAGTGAATTTTAACTTAGACTAAGGTCATTGTAATGAGATGTGTAATGGCCTGAGCAGGACACTTAGGTGAAAGGAGGAGAGACACGTGGGACGGATTAAAGAAGCAAGCTTAAAACTTTTTCGTTTAACACTTTGGTAGGGTGCTACGTGCCTAATGCTTGCTCTCACGTACTAGGCATTTTAATTGGTTCCAGTGCAAGAAACAGGGCTCATACCGTATAACCAAACTAATAAGTCAGAGTAACCCTGCTTCAGACTAATTCAGTTTTAACCCCTCCCCACCCAAACTCACCTTGCACTTGCCAAAGAATTTAATCTCTTCCATCTTGCACCGTTTCCCAGAAAATCCCAAATCTTTTTACGCATGAAGATTCTCTCTTTTAACTCATAATTTTCTACGGAAAACAATGAAATGCTATGACTGTTCAACCCTGCTGTGCCTGTATTATATAACAGGAAAGGTAGAAAGTGATCTGGTTATTGTGCCAGTTTCACTCCACACAAAAAATTAATTCCTGATGCCCAAAGCAAAGAAGGCAGCAGACATGCAGCTTGACAAAAAGCCTGAGTGAGCCAGTTCACAGGAGTAAGAGCCTTTCGAGACAGCTGGTGATGAGAGCTGTGATATGTGAATAGAGGAGTGCATCATAGCAAAACAGTGGTCCTGTTCTCCCTGTTCAGCCAAAAAAAAAAAAATGCTCTGAAGAGAAGAGGTGAGAAGCAGTATATTCTGTCTGTCTTCAGAAGTGTGTCTGTTAGGTTTTCTGCCATACACTTAAGGTCTTCTCTGACCCTGTTTAAATACTAGTAAAAACATACCTGCTGTCTGCAGAGGACAAAATGGACATCTGGAAAATAAGAAGTGTTGTTGTAGCTGGCATATACAGCAATTATAACTAGCATACTATTTCATATAATGTAAACAATATCTGACATCTTCCAAATTAATCAATTTGGTAAAGTTGTGTGTTCCATAATCAATCTGTTACTCAACTGGAGGTATTTGAAAAAAAATAGGTGGTTTGACTGAAATTACATCCCCTGAACTATTCTGAGGAAGCACAACTAATTAATATCAGAATGAATATCTGAATTTAACTTGCAAATTATTTGATGTTAACTGTGAAAACTATTCAAAAATTGCCCAAGATGCAGAAGTTCATTTCACACAGTTACTGAATCATCAAGCAGAGGATGGGAGCAAACCATCCCCATTATCCTTCCAACAGTCTGATTCAAGAAATGGGAGCTTTTCTGGGATGTGACTAGCAGAATTTTATGAGCATCTTTAAATAAATACAGCTTTGGTTGAGGGACAAAATCTCTGTGAACACTTTATACATATTTTGCAATCTATCAATTTAAAGAAAATGCAAACTCTGCACTATTTTTGCAGAGCTTGTAAACTTGGGAACTCCAAAAAGTCTTTTTGAGAAAGGAACTTAAGACAGTCAAGCAAGCTTGTAAATCCTAAAGAGCAAAACTGCCCTTTTGAGGAGGAAACCCTAAATATTTTATTGGTGTGAAGCAATGAACATTTGTAGGTGTCTCCTCATAGTGTTTTCAAGGCCTGCAAGTGCAGCCCATCTTTGCAGATTCCTAGGCCTGTCCTGAGAAGTTGTTCTTGTTGAGTATTTGCCGGGCTTGCCTGCTTTTTGAACAAGACCTTGAGGCTGTAGGCTCCTTTATGACCTTAACAGATCACATGCTGAGAATTTGTACCTAGTATGTAACTAGAATAGGTAGATTTTGTTACAGTCTGTTGACTGTCTTCTCAAATGCAAATTTCTAACGTATTGAATTTTGCAGTTTTCAAAGTTAATGCTAGGCTATTTTAACTACTGTTTAAAATCAAACAATAGCTACCTGGTAAGTCTCTTTGTTTGCAGTCCTATTAAACTTGTACTTTTAGGGCCATGCAATGGCTCCTATGTTTACTAGTTGCCATTATGTAGCTTTTTTTGGTGATACAGCATGCCTGGAAGCCTTTGTTATGAATTGGAATCTCATGGCACTGAACATAGGCCTAGACATGTGTGTAGTAAAAGACAGTTTCTGCTTCAAAGAGATGGTAATCTGGTGGGTTTAATTTTTCCCAGAAATAGCTTTCTACAGGCATCTCTGTTCAGTCAAATTTTTTTTTGAAAAGGCAAATAAAAAGAGCTGTTTCTGCTTAGTTCTGATTTTGTCAGAAATGGAAAGCACCAGCAGACTTGTTGGGTTTTGAGCCCTATTACTGCAACTGTAACTTCCATCCATTTGTGGGATGCTAGATGTTTGACTTGTCTGATGACTTTTTGTATTTGAAGCTTGTGATTTATTTTTACCTCAAAATATAGTTTATTCATGCTTTCAATGAGCACTATTCACTGGAATTTTAGATACTGTCAAAGTTGATACTTATTTCCTATTTTTTTTCTCTATTTAATTGTCTCTAATTTCCATCTGAAAATGACTTCACAGCAACATGCATCCAATGGCACTGTACCAAATCATGATGCCAGAGTAGTTTCAACAAAAATAATCTAAACCAGGAGCATTTCTTTCCTCCTTTCATAGTACGTGTTGCCTCTGATATACATCAATCAGCAGACTAGTATGATCAAGCTACACTAAATACTATCCCATTGGACACCCATTACTTCACCAGTTACATTTTATTTAGGCTCCTTTATCTGGTTTCATTACTTTAGGAAGCACAGAGCTCTTGATCTCTGGCTGCATATATTCATATTTTAGAATGGTACTTAACTCAAGCTGACAAGCCAGGTGGGCTATGGCATACGTGATAAATAAGTGTTTTGTTTGATACTCTTTATCAAGGACAATTTTCTGGCCAACTGGACTGTATGGAAAAATTCTTTACGTTTGTGGTTTAACAGAAGATATATGTTACTGAAATGTTCATTATTTACATTCTTTAATTTTTAACTTTTAAACTGACTTAAAGAAATTACACCTATGCAGTCTCACTGTTTAGTTTCTCCCTAATAACTCTTGAATGCATTGATCAATGTAAACCGAGTTTGATGAACTTAAATCTCAAAGATATGAAATTCCTACACGGGACACATCTGCTGGAAACTACTTCTATTCTTCACAAAACAGCTTGATTACATTTAGGTTAAGTCCTTTTTCCCTTCTCAAATTAAAACCTGAAATTCAAAAAATATTTCACCATGCTCTTTGATCAAATGTAGGGTTTTTTTCTTTCTAAACTAATTGTTTTTGAAAATGTAGAAGCATGGCAGTACTTCACTTTGGTGCACAGGCCCTTTCTGATGCAGAAATGTTTCTGTGGACAATTTCTGACTGAGCCGAGGAATAATTCAGAACAGAGCAGAGGATCTGAAATAGTTGTATCCTTTAGAATAGCTCTGAGCCATTTTGAGCTCACATTAATTAGCATAATTTACTGTGGAGATGTAAAGTCACTTTGGATAGCGTAAGGGGCTTTTATTTTTCTCTCCTTGGCATGTGGCTTGCTTTGGGGAGGTGGAGGAGGTAGGAGGGAGAGGATGTAACCCTCCCCTTGTACCCCTTGAAGCCCATGTGTGATCTGTATCACAGGGTTGGCTTTTGCATATTTAGAGGCTCCGATCTAATAGCAAGGCACCACTTGGGGACATGACATTATGCTTCAAGACTTGCGTTCCTGAATAGGGTGGTAGAATGTGTAGAGGTTACTGCGAGAGGGCAGCGTACTTGCAGAAAGATGCCATGTTTTGCACTTGCCCAGCCTAATGCGATGGAGGTGGAGGGGAGGCGAGAAGTGGGGGGTGAGGGGAGGAACTGTGTGTGATGGCTGGAGAAAAGAGATGAGAGAATTCATTTGCATACAAATGGTGTGCATCACTTTCAGATCCCACTCTCGCTTTGAAGCTCAAGTGGCAACTCTTAGTCTTTGGACATTTCCTAGGTTGAGGGATTGCATTTTACTTTGTAATCACAGCACCATAGGAAACAGAGCGGGCAGGAGCTTTGGTCACCTGATCCATTCTCTTTTCCCAAAGAAGGCTTAACTACACCAAAACCAATCTTGACTAAAGTTTGTCCAACCTTATGTTAAAAACTTCGGCAAATATATTTTTGGGCCTTAGAAGCCCTATCATTAGCAGTCTTTTCCCAGTGTTCAGCCTAGTATCCAGTTCTTTTTTGCAGCAGTTGCATTCTATCACTTCTTATATATTTATTCTTTTTGTAGAGAACAGATTATTTATTTTCTCCTTGCAACAACTTCCAGTTATTTGGATTACTGTGACCTGCAGTTCTTTGCTTCCAGATTTAAAAACCCAATTCTTTCTGTCTTTTGCCATAAGTTATGGGGTTTTTGACCTTTGATTTTTTTTTTTATGTGTTCCTCTCTTCTTCAGTTGTCTGTCTTCCTCAAAGTAGACTCAGCAATGCAGTTGAAGCCTTTCCAGTAATAAGTAGAAAACAACCTGTTTTACAGACCAGTACTTTTCACATCCCCATGGGTATCTGTTTCAAAACAGCATGACAGTGTTAATTCTTTTAAGTGTATGAACCAATATAAATTTCAGTCTTTTCTGAAGAACCACCATCTACTCATTTGTTTCTCTTCCTCTGTGTAGTTTGACTGTGGAACCTTGTCTTTAAACATTCTGAATTGTATTCTTTTTAGACCGTTTCTCAAATTTGTCAAACTGCTTTTGAATTCTCATCCTGTCCTCCAGCAGACTTGCAGCAACTCATGTCTGCAAATGTAATTTGCAGTCTTACTCTATTAAACTGGTCATTAAAGAAAATAGATAGTACACAGTTCAGGAATGCCTGTCAATAGCTTTCTGAATATAGCTTTCCAACTGGCTTTTCATCTGATGTATAGTAGTATCTTCTAAATATGTGCTTCCCTATTTTCCTTAAGAAATTGCCCACGTGAAACAGTGCCAGACTCCTTACTAAAGTCAAAATACATGATGTCTCCCTGAACACAAGTCCTGTTACTCTGCCATTGCAAGAAAAAAAATTGCTTTAACATGATTCGTTCATAACAAATCCACATCAGCTGTTACTCATCTTCTTCTTTTCTTCTAGGAAATTGTGTGTGTGTGCGTGTATACGTAAATATAAAAGTTTTGCCAGTATTTTTTCTGTTTGTTGGGATTAAGCAGCCTATTCTTCAATTTCTAAGTTTTCCTTTCCTGCTTCTTAAACAACACAAGACTTTTCTTTAGTCTTGCAGAACCTCACCCAATATCTGTAAAACAACAGTTACACCTCTGGGATTACGTAGTTTTATTTTCACAGTATCCTTAAATCTGTATTATCAGGCCAATTGAGTTCCAAACATTTAACTCATTTAGGTAGTCTCTAATTGAGACAACAGTTCTCATTGCTGCTTTTACTTATGTTTGCTGCCTGACTGCAGTTGGCTTTAATAAAAAATTATTGAAAACTTTTAGTGAAATACTTTTAAATGTGTGGCATCATCTGTTGGTATTGCTTGCTCTTAATAACAGACCAACTCCTCATGAAAACATATTTTTGTGTTTCTAGAGTGACTGTTCTGTCATTGTTAGTTGCATTGCATCTATACTTGGCTATCCTGGGTT